ACTTAATGCCATACATCTTAAGCACAAATAATTTTGAAAAATAGACATTTTCAGAAGCTTTCTAAATTTTTATAAACTTTATATAAAAATAATTCGTTCCATATAAAACCCTAGGGATGCTCCCAAACGCATGTAAAAGTAGCTCAGTCCTCATTTACAGCTTTGTCTCTGAAGCCGCTGGCTGCACATGGGGCAGGAACAGAAGAGCATTACTGTTTTTTACCAGCTGTTCAAGAAGCGAAACTGCTGGCCTGGGGACTTAGCTCAGGGGAGCCGCCGCCTGCCTCGCAACTGCAAGTTCCTGAGTTTGATCCCTGCTACCAAAATAATAATAATAATAAATACTAATAAATAGAAGTAAAATGGCTGCCTTCCCTCGCTCACTTATGAATAGTGCGTTTTTTGTAACCACATTTACATTTTTTTCAAATGTAACTTAGCTTAATCGCAGTAGTGTGGACGATTTTAATTCTGTGTTTTAAAGTCTGAGGATGAATATCCTCAAAAATAAATGCTTCATGCAAGTTGGTGAAAGTAAACTCAAGCTGCCTGTTTGGAAGCTAGAAGGCAGAAGAAATTTCTTCTGCAGACCGCAGGAGGTGATGAGCGAGCGGGGTCCCCCTGGCAGCTCTGCGTGGGGCCGGAATGTGTACCGGGGCCTTGCAGCCAGAAGTCTTTGCCTCTTGCAAGGTTAGTGTCACTGTTCCTGAAGGAACGTGACCTATCGGGTGTCTGATATTTGGAGAGAGAGTTGGTTTTTTGAAAAAGGACAAGAGGACTTAGAAGAATGTCGGGACTAGGGTTATATCCTTACTGCAGGCCCAGGGTCTGCTGCGGGCTTGAGAACGCCATCTGGTTCCATTATTTGGAGACTAGGTTTAAAGAGAAAAGGACCTGATCCTCCTGCCAACCCGTAACTCTCCTCAGAAGGGGACACAGGATTCCAACAAAATCCTCTTTGGGAAGTGCACCTAGGTTTTTTTTAAATCTTTGAACTTGGGCTTTCAAAGATGGAAAATAGAAAATTCTGAAAATCCTGACCCATAACTTAGCTTTGAACAATGTTTGCACTTGAAGTTGTAACTCAAGTGATTAATTTCTGAGTTTCTTTTCATAAAATTAAAATTTAAAGAGACTGACTAGTAGCTTATGCTGTCATTAACGGTCTTTAAATGAAAAATAAAAGATTCAGCTTTATCATAACTTAAAAGCCCCAAGCCTGTATTTTACCTCCTTGCCCCCTTAAATTATTTTTAAAGACCTGAGTAGGGTGTGTATCTGACCATTCTAAAGTACAAAACACTCTAATTTCCCCCAAATTTTTTTACCAATCCCCCATTTAACAGCAGTTTTCAGCAGGACCCAACAAAACATTGTGACAGTGAAGTAAACTTTCCATCACCCAGAAACTCTGTGACCGAGGACGAATCCCTTAATCCCCTAAGCTTTAAAAGGAGTGTGGTAGTAACAAATGTCCCGTACGATTACTGCAGGACATGACTTAGGGGACCAGCACAGTGGGCGGTTCAGATGAACAGGGAGCGTTCAGGGAGTGAGTACAAAGCAGTGCGTGTGTGAGTGGAGGGTGGGACCGGCAACACCGAGCCCCTCCCTCAGGCACAGTGACACCCAGCGACCGGACTGGACCACAAGGTGGCCCTGTGAGTGCACGGCCAAGTGGAGCGGTAACTGCGCTGGGTCTCCAGAGCTGCTCGCGTCCTCATCAGAACTGGCTGTGGGTGCTGCCTCTGTGGAGTCTCGGATCTGCCCCCTTGCTGACTCATCCGCCTTCAGGAGACCAACCTCATAGGCCAGGGCTAATTTCTCTATACTCGTCATGTAATGAAATGCCTACTTCCTACTACACAGTCTTGTAACAAAAATACAAACACATCACATCTTCCAAAACGCACAAGGGGACCTAGGTTAAGCGTGTGGGGGGGTGTGTGAATTAGTGCAAAACAAAGACAACTCAGGGAGAAACAAACATACCCTTGAAACAATGATATCTCACAAATGTTTGCATGAAACCTTTCAGAGATGTTGCTATAACAGAGAAGGTTAGTTCTACACAGGTCTAAGGTTCACAGGAGGAGGTGCTCAGTAGGCTTTCTTCTAGCTAGACACAGAGGCTTTCCCCAGTAGCACACGAACAGAATCTGGAACAGCCCACAGACACATTTCAGCTCACCAAGGCTTTCTCACGTTCCCTGTTTGGTCCGTGTTCCTGAGCAAGAACAGACAGCCACAATCCTGGCATGATCATTTTCAAACTGGACCCTGATAGTTTTTTCTCTCTCCTGTGCACAACTCTAAAGGAACCCGTGACACTTCCTATGATCCATCAGAATACAAATCTGAAGGTTTCTTGAATGGAATCACACGGTCAGGTCACACATCTTGTTTTCCACTATCTTATGGGTCTGAGTAGAACAGGTTTGAAACTGGGGCACATAGGACACAAAAGTCTTCTTGCCAGACGTTCCTAAATTGAAATTATTTTCCACCAAATGCGAGCAACTTTCCTGGAGAATCCTGATGTCAGCGAATAAACAGTGGGGCGGAAATGGGCACAGTACTCCCGACTCCTCAGTCAAGAACCCGCCGCTCGCTCTCTTTTTGATCGAGGTGACCCCTAAATAATAGATAGACTTCTCCTTCTGGTTCTCTTCGGGGAAATCTCCCTCCAGCTCCAAGAGTCCTTCCAGCCCTTCCGAGATCGAAAGGTGCGGTGAAATCATGTCGGACGGCTGATCTGATAATATAAAGACTGCTTGAGTTTCTATCTCCCAGGAGCTATTAGAGAAGGAATCTCTCAGCGTCGAACTTTTGCTAGAGAAGCCCTTGCTGACGGAAGCGTGCAGCAGTCCTTGCTCGTCGCCGGCTTCACCCGACTTGGAGTTGCTGACCAGCGCGGCGTACTTGACCGAGGGTGGCCCTGGGCTGTCCTCCTCCCAAGTCACCTTAGTGACCCCCCTGTCGGAGGAGGGAGGGCTGTCACACGGGCCACGCAGGCCGATGGAGCCCTTCTCGGGATCAGGAGCGCTCAGAAGCAGGGAGACCAAAGTCACCGGCGCTCTGTCTTCCTTATTTGTCCGTGGCGTATCGATACTGATATCTTCCGAGATGGTTTCGGGCTCCAAGAGAAGAGGAACAAAGGTCGCTGATCCTGTGTGCTTGATAAAAAGATGCTCAAATGTTTCGGGCTAAAAGAAAAGACACATTTTAGTGCTCAATGATATTAATTTTTTTTTGTTTACTTTATTAGGCCACACTTGCATTTCTGCAAGTGTGTAGGGTTAATAAGAAGGGGTGTAATCCTACCACACATTAATCGCTTTTGGACTAAAACATACATCAAAACTGTAAGGGACAGGGAGCTTGTATGGGATGAGATGGACTTAGGCTTGAGTTCTTCTAATTCTGTGAGCACAAACTCGTACATTAACTCTCTGCCTTTGTCAGCTCCTCTGTAAAAATGAGTTCAGCACTGCTTCATGGCTTTGTGATTAGAAGTCAATAAGATTGCATCCAACAGCGCTTAGCTTTCAACAAACAATCATTACAGTGATGGACAGAATGATGCCCCCTGAAGAATTCCTCACGGCGACAGTAAGTTACAGTCCTACAAGCTGAAAACTTAAACCCCAAGTAGAAAAAAAACAGACTGAATATGAAATCAAATGAGCAAAACATGTCTCAGGGTACCTAAGGAATGATTCTATGATAAGACACGTGACACAGATAAAACAATGGTGACTGCTGAGAATCTGCTGGAGGCGGTGTGAAAATAAGAGCTAGCGATGCTTATGTGTTGAAAATGAAAGAAACCGTCACAGACTTGTAAATTACTGTGCCTTATCAATAACTTCATATAAAAATGTATACTACAGACATGGAATGAAGACAAGAACACAAGATGAATGCAGATCATGTTTTTTATAGGAACGATGGTTACATCATAACAAAACTCTTACAAAGCAGGTACAAATCAAGAATCCATATGCAAAAAGCACAATTCGTACAATGTGAACACATGGAAAAAATAAATGCAAAATAAAAAATACCGTGGATACATCACAATGAAAAGTTAACGCAACTGAATCAAGTCCTATAGAAGATGTGTTCAGTTTATATATCATACATGTAATTGAACTTCTGAATTTTACATTTGTTAAATGCATAGAATGAATCCACATGTGGTGCCTGAGATAATGACACGCTCGACCGCTCTCATAATGGCGAGGATAGGCCACAGAGACAGTTTATCATTAGCACGTGTTCAAACTCTTAAGTGAAATATACTAGTGGTTAAAACCATGAATGAATAAATATATCAAATGCTAAATATAATAATAGTGGAATAAAATCACATAGGCATTAAAATACTGCATAATGACAGATACTGTGTTAGTACAACTTTTCCTATTATTCTACCAACATGATCTAGGAACAGGAGACATTCTATGTCTATTTTCTTTCTGAAAGAAATCGAAGTCTTATTTCCTTTAAACATTTGCTTAGTCATTCTGGTTTTTTCTGAAAGTTTTTGTTTGGGTATGTGCATGCCTGCAATTTATTATTTTAAATTTTAAATGAAGTTGGAAATTAAGATCACCATCATGGAATTAAGTGCTATCAATATGGAAACAAAAAAATGGATACAAATAACCCATACCATGCAGTCATGCTCTGTGTTCCTGTTTGAGATAGTGTTTCCACAGCCTTCATAACAGGTAACTAATCGCTGAAACCAAATACTGTACATCTTCATATGCATTCAGAGGGAAGGTTTCACTAATAAAGAAATCACTGGGGCCGGGGATTTAGCTCAGCAGTTCCGTGGCCTGCCTTGCAAGCACAAGGACCCGAGTTCAATCCCCAGTACCAAAAAAAAAAAAAAAAAAAAAAAATGAGAGATTGCTTGAAAAGCTAAATTTAGCTCTCCTTCTTCTTCCTCCTCCTCTCTCTCTCTGCTCTCTCTCTCTACTCCCACCCCTTGAATAAAATCCCCAGTAGGAAAAAAAAAAAAAGAAATCACTTACCCATACAATATTGAAAAATATGAGTCGCTCAGTCTAGGCACATATTAAATATGTGCTCAACTGGCAAGAATTAAAGAATTATCTGTTCGTAATTTTGCACTCTAATGACATCTGTTAAAAGTCAATGAAGGGGGAAAAAGAGATTATTCCTGCTTTCTTAGGTTTTTTAAAGACATCCTAGTACAACTGTGAGTAAAATCTAAATATAATTGACCCACAGAGAGCCTGTTTGAGTATTATTTGGGTTCATATCTAAGCTCTCTGGTTTAGTCTGTGAGCAACTGAGTATGTGCAGGATGCTAAACTCAAAGAATGGCAAGTGGTCTATCTTCAGTCCTATCCTCACCATGACCTATTTGTAAAAGCTCCAAAGAATCCCCTTTCTTTGTATCATGGCACGTTTCCTGCCTGCCATAAGTTTTGGACACTTCCGTGGCAATAAATTGGATTTGGGCAAGAATTGCACAAGAAGGCTGGACTGGAAGTTTATGTTCTTTTCAGAATTAGGCATTCCACCTGAGTGTGTACAGTTACCCTGATATGAACTGTAATTTTTACTAGTCTGTGACCAGCACAAACCACAACTTCTGGCTTTCTTTGGGTTGCAATGAAAGTTAGTACATAAGGCATTATCAAGACTATTGAAAACTGAAATTCACAGATTGGCCAAAGTTAGATGTACAAAAGCTACAAGACATTCAAAAGAACACCCAAACAGGTAAATTTATGGGCCCAACTGTCTAAAAAGGAATCTGATGAAAATTTTGAGATGGGAAAATACAAAACCAGTATTTCCCATTCACTTTGCAGTTACAGCCCTCGTGTTTGCAGGGCCATCTGTCAGAAGGCACAGATTTAGGGCCCACTGGGTCACAGCGTTATCTATGGGCATACAATGGCCTCTGGTAGGCAGTTCTAACAGAAACGGTCATGATGCTTTTTGTTTCATGACTATGACAATGACACGTAACAAGCCAAAAATCATGAATGTCACTTTTAAACTGTAGATGACCTGAAAAATCACACATCCAAACAGACATGGATTCAGACCTATAGCATGACCCAAATGTACACATCTATTTTAAATTCTAAACGAACATAATCCACCATATGTTAGTTCTCAAGAGTTCAATGAAATTATGTTTTAGATTTGTTCCCCTTCTTCAAAATGTAAAAATCTTCTAATGTTCTATGAACTGTCGGGAAGTTGGTACATTGAGTTCATCAGCAGTGATCATGATTAGACTTCAAAGAATGTCAATTCTCTGTTTAGATAAAATAAAATAAGAAAGCAAAATAAAAAAGTCACTCAGGAAGCAAAAGATAAGATTCCAAAATATTTTTTGTTAGGCATGGTTCTGTACTCTCAGTTAAACTCTTGTGTTATATTATGTTATATTATGGTTAATAGCCTTTCCTTTTAGGAAAGGGAAAAATTAAACTAAGGTGGCTTTTTTCAGTTTTTAAATTTGTGTTTTAATGTTACATGCTAAGGATAGTCTTAATTACTCCAGCACAAGAAAAACTGTGGAGAAATAACAGAAAAAGGTAAAAGGAAAAATCCAAAGGGCTGGGAAAAGGAGCGGGGGATAAAACCAACAGTAAGATTGGAATGTTTGTTTGGAAGTAGAAAGAAAAAGAATAGAACAATGAGAAGAAAAATTTTAAAATAAAGAGAAGGAAGTACTAAAATAGTGAATTGAAAGAATCACAAAACCTTTGCTGTGAGGTTTTTTGGTTTTTTTCTTAATGCAGAAAAGAGACTTAATAAATCTTCTGGTTCAGCTCTCCCTTTTTTAAACAAAGGAGCGAGGCCTATGAAACTGTTTGGCTAAGGTGACAGAGCTAGTTAGAGCAGAGTAGTACTGTGACTTAGTTCTTCTCTTTTCTGGTCCAACTATCTTTCTAAAACACAGTGGAAGATGAAAGAAGTCCCAGACACAAAAAGGCAGGAGAATATGCTGTATTCCTTTTATACTTGCTGGAATAGAGTTGAGCTGATTAAATCATATTTTCTCCTGGTTCCTTATGACCTGAGAGATATAAGGAATAAGAAATAACAAAACTGAAATAATATTTGAGGGTAGTGGAATATGTACTTCCAGGTCCAGTAATACACACTTTAAGGCAAGGAGATTAGCTACTTCTAAACAGAACATCTAACTCAAAATTGCACCAGTTCTTGCACCTGAGAGAAAGGGCAATCTCAGGACTTCAGGCACAATTCTGACTCAGATCTGTGTGGTACAGTGCTAGATCACAGTTGTTGAGCTCTTTCTTTAAAAGCCCAGAGCTGGTTGGTTAAATAATCCGGGAGAGTCTTCAGAGGCCCAGGAAAAGTACACTTGCCTTTAGTTTTACTTGGTCCCCTTGAATTAAGTTGGTAAGGACATTCTTAGAGAACCTAGCATAAAAGTAGACCAAAGAACAGAGTTGGACCAGAGAAAAAAATAAAAGAAGAGAAAATATTGTAAAATAAACTTTAAAATGCCAAAGAATGAAATGAATTAAAGTTAAATCAAAAGAGTTTTAAAATAGTTGCAAGGGGAAAGCTTCAGATGATTTGGATTTAGAGGAAAAAATAATCAGGCAAAAATTCTAAAAAAAAAAAGCACAAAATAAGTCAAGAAAGGTTTATTGTCTTTTATACTCTGAAATATTCATCACAGGAAAAGAAAGGCTATTGAGTCACTACAATATATTTTCCTACACCAAAGATTCAGTCTTTATTTAAGATTCTGATCTTTAACATATAAAGAGAAATTGTGTAAAGAATTCAAATTCAAAATGGCAGACTGAACGTGTTTCTTTCTCGTCTCTTTAGAGATTCTGTATGAAGGTATGTGAATAAATCAAACACAGAATGATCTGAGAAGAGTAATAGGGGATAAATAATTTTAATTCATTTGTAAAGATTATACACACAGTGTTAGACCAAAAGAAATAAGTAAAGGGAGCTGAAGAACAGAACATATCCGGAGTGGGCTGTAGCTGTAGAGACAGTCCATCAGCCCTGCTAAGCATGGTGCGGGAGAGAGGGAGGAGAGGGAGGGAACAGAGATGAAACTAGGAAGAAAGGAGCCCCACGGCTGGAAACTGGGGCAGGCTGGGCTCTGCGAATGTGGAGAGGCTCTGTACACCCAACCTAACACAGTAAAGCTTTGTGTACAAACTGTCCACACCACAAAGGAGGGAATTCCTGTTCCCAAAAACAACTGAGGAAGAGTCAGGGAGAAAGAGAGCAGTCTTGGGATATTACTCTCTCAGAGCACATCTTTGTACGAGAGTGGAGTCCTGGCTACTCACCTGGGACAACTGTCCCTGTGTATCTGCCCTAGGCTCTCAGGCAACTGGTCTATTGCTTCATCCCAATAAGAATAAAGGGTAAAGGGCTGCCAGATATTTGGGGGAGGCCTCAATTTTTTTCAAAAGACTAAGATGAGAGGAAAATATGATTCAACAGAAACAAAGTTCACAACATGGAAAGAAAAGATAATATTTCTAATTAAAACAAATCCTCTAGGGAAGGGGATTTAGCTCAGTGGTGCCACTGCCTGCCTCACAAGCACAAGGTCCTGAGTTTGATCCCCGGTACAAACAAAAAGACTACTTAGAAAAGTATAATAATAATAATAATCCTAAATAAAAATCCAATGAAACTACTGGATGAACAGAAAGGTCTCAATGCAAAACAAAAATACAGAGAAAGAGACAACATTAGATCAGATATATACAATATAGAAGATCCATGGAGAAGGTCAACATCCAACAAACAAACCTATGAGAACCAAAGAAACAAGAGGACAGAAAGGAAATCAAAGAAATAATGGTATTTCTTAGAGCCGGCAAGAGAAAAAATTGAGTCTCTTCAAACGATACCAAGTGAAATGAAAAAAAGAAACACCTTTGACACAATGCTAAAATTTCACATCAAAAATGGAAAAGTGCTTTGAAAAAGATAAATCTACAAGTACTCAGGAAAAAACTGGAATGGGATCTGTCTTCTGAGAAACTACTCAGGACACAAGAAAGGCAGAAATTGTCCCAAAATTCCATTGGAAAGGCTTTTTCAAAATAAAAATTGAAATCCCATCAAATGTGCAACAGAAGGAACTTCAGACATGCAGAGACTGAGACTGAACCCAGAACCTTTCTTAGAAGGTCACTTCAGGATGTGTTAAGAAAGATGAAGAGAAGGAAGCTGGGAAACACTGATGAGTAGAAATGAGTTAAAGCAACATTCAAGAGTGACAGTTTACAGAATTTTACAAAAGTCTAATTCACTTTGAAGTTGGAGAAAAAAGGGATCCCAGAACAGACTGTACTAAAACAAGTCTCTAGTGAAAACAAGGACTGGATAAAATAGTTTATACACTAGAAACACACAAGAGGGTAAGCTGACAGATGGATGATAGATACTAGGCAACTGGGAGACAGACGATGGACAATTAGAAACTCTAGGGCAAAAAAAAGGATAAAACAAAGTAATAAAATAACACCAACTAACATTTGGCACAATTTTGATCAAGTAGAATGCTTCTAATGTTTCTAAAGAAAATCTCCTTTAACACTGGATCCACCAAGAAATGTAATCATGTTACACTACCTGTTTCTACAAGGAATGTACACATGATTATAACAATCGAAATTCCACATAGTAGTTGGCTATTTTTAAAGATGAACCCACGTACAAAGTACATTACAGGATGTTATCAACTCTGACTTTAGTAAAAGTACAGTTAGTAATTTCTAGAGATTGAAAAGTAGAGGGAAAATAGAGGCAAGGATAACTGAATGAATGTGCCAATTTCACACAAAAAGAGGGTAGACTGAAGAGTGAGAACATTTTTCTGAGGTTGTACAGCAACTAAACAGTGACAGAACAGTACAGTAAGACCAGGAGGAGAGGACAAAAAGTACTTGTGTGAACAAATCACTTACTAGAGTGGGAAACTGCAACTAATGCTTACAGCTCAGTGCCGTCTAAGCATGTGATTTTTATAGAAATCTGAAGGTAAACTGCCAGCAAAATGAAAAGCAAGACAGTTAAAAGAAGGGGCAGTGGGAATGCAAGACTAAGAGCAGAGAGGGAGGAGGAGGAGGAGACTCCATTTTTAATAAATGCTCTTCACACTATTTCACACTAAGCTACACACATGTGTTTCTTTCAAAACCCTTTCTTTTACTGTAATGGAAAATGTTAAGGAGAACAAGGTGACTTTCACAGCCATACTTCCTGCAGCCGTTTGTAACATTCGGATGAAAAATGAGCTCAGATAAGGTGAGAGGGGAGTGGATGAATGAACGGTGGTCGGTTCCTAGGCTGCGTCGCTACAGAGCAGGCCCACGGTGAGCTGCAGTGACTGTCACCATGGAGACGTCTCCACAACAGCACCGGCAGGACAAGTCCTCCGGGATGAGATGGACGGTGGACCACACTAATGACACCCCAAAGGGTTGCTGCCCATTGGCCACACACGCACAAACGTGAGTGCAGCACAAAATGGATTAACATGCATTATATTTTGGAAGAGGGATTCGAACTGGTAAAGGGAATAAGCAGGACAAACTTTATCTGTATTGCTCATTATGAAAAAAATGAGGCAAATACGTAAAATGTTAAGACACTAGGTTTCTAGAGAGGTGTTCCCCTCCCCCGGGTACTGGGGGTCAAACACACACAGTCTAGGGAATCACTGTACCCCCGAGCCATACCAACCCGGCATTATTCTATTTTTGTGTATTTATGTTATCTGAAATATTGACAGGGAAGAGGGTAAAACATACAAAAGAAAGACCTTGAGGAAGTTATATTAGGAGAATTATTTGGAATCCCACATGGAATAATTCTATTGTTATTACCAATGTCTTGTATGTAGCAGATTTAAAGAAATATTTTCTTTTAAAAACATCTCAAAATACTGGATTTTAAAAAATTTGGCATCCTTGATTTGCATGGTTTAGTATAGATTTCAATTTATTATAAATCAAAGAGAATGATAGCTTAAAAAGTAGAAGAAATTAATATTAGTGTACATGTTGGAGACTCTGTGGGATGTCTAGGAATTAGAAGACCAGCTAGAATATTTCATAACAATCAATGTTCCTAAACATAGGAATCTGGAGAGCAAATTAAAGAAAGCACTTTACATAGAAAATTATTTCTTCCTTTAAAATTGATCATGTTTAAATCTCTTTGCTTTGGTGAAGTTTTTGCTTGCTTGTTCTGTGTTAGAACTGGACACCCCACATAGTGCTTGTCCCTCTATCATTTAAAGGTCATGGATTCTTTTCATGCTTTGGCAATTATGAATAACCCTCCTATAAATCCTCACGGGTAAACTGCCACACACACAGATGATTCCGTTTCTGCTGGTGCACGCCTATCACTTTGCTCCACAAGGGCTGCCCTACTTTAATCATCCCCACCAGCAATGGATGCTACTTCAAGTTCTCCACATTCTGGACAATATTTTATCTGTTTTTTTACAACATCCATCCTGCCAGGCATGCAATGGTACCTCGGGTTTCTGACTTTCATCTTCCCAATGTCTAACGATGTTGAACAGCCATTTGTTAGGTACAAGGTGCACACCTTGTTTGGATGAATACCTAGTCAGATCCTTGCCCATTTCTTATTGTGTTAAAATGTGTGTGTGTGTGTGTGTGTATGTGGTTTACCATTTTAACTATGTAATTTAGTATTAAGTGCCTCAAGGAGCACATGGTTAATACAGAACCAATGAGAGGTATGGGTCTGGCTTAGATGGAGAAGGATTTGAACCCAGGTTTTTACATGCTGGGTGGTCAAGATAAGCAACTGAACCACCCTGAGTGACAGCTTTGCCCTCAGACAGCTTTGCCTCTGAGAGAATAAAATGCGGTAACACAAGTATAAAGGCACAGGACAGACCAGAAACTTGCCTTTTAATTCTTTAGCAATAAAAAGTGAGTTTTACTATTTTATTTTTCCTCCCAAAACACATGTTAGTCATTTAGGAGATTAAAGTGGGAAGGTCGGGTATAGATAAGTTTGTATCTTTTTTAGACCAAATTTTACCTGTAATGAAGTCTTTAAGGTTAGATTCTTCACTTTGTAAACATTCCCATATATTCCCAAACTGATTTACTCTCAATGCAGCTACTAAGCCCTAGTACTAAGCTAAGCTTTTCTGCCTCAATTATGCTTAGAAAATATTTTATAAGATTAGAATGCCAAATATTTGCAAAAGCAATCAACTTTCCAAGGAAGGATCACATATCTTAAAAATCCTTTACCTTTCTTTACCAGAATCTGGAAAATTTTGGTGAGACTGCAGTCGACTCACATGTCGTATCTGGCAGAAGGAGCCACGCTCACCTTCCGGAAGCATTAAAAGGAGAACCTGGGGTAGGACACAGTCTACAGATACTCTCCTCCCTCGGCCACCCTACTTCCACCCAGAGTCCTGCGTGCCAGGAATTTTCTGATAAGGGGAAAAACCCATCAGTGCAGATTCAAACTGCATCATGCTACAGTGGGTCTGACCTTGCCCTGGTAAATACAAGAGGTGGCTTTTGTGGTGCCAGACAGTTTCCAAAAGACAAACGATTCATGTAAACCCTCACTACCGCCTCTTCTGAAAACAGGGCGCTGTGTTCTTCCAATGAAAGAGTACAACTGAATCCTTTGCACTGTCCGTTACGTCTACAGTATTACTTGTCTAGCGTTCTCTGATACACTGTAAAGTGATGCTTTCTCATGGCAAATCATAGGTCATTTAAACAATATTAAATTAGTTTAGCAGGCTGCAGACAGCATTAACAAATGACATCGAATTCTAAAAATGCTCTATTTATTCTACTTTGAGCAAGTAGAATCACTGTATGTACCCTTCCTTCCACTCTTGCATATTTAAGTGTGTGCTGAGTTGGAATGGAAGGTCAAATGTCTTGCTTACTGTGGATTCTCAGTGAAAGAAAAGGAGAAGAAAGTCACTGCTACACAGGACAGCTACTGTTAAGACAGGTTCCAAAATCAGACAAGCTGAGAGGCTGATCCTGACTCCAAAGCAAACAACCTCCCCACTTTGAACACCCGTTTTCTCTTCTATAAACGAAGTTGCTGATACTCATCTACCCTACGTGTAACTGAAAGACAACAGTAATCTAAACTATGTATGTACTAAAAAATAGTAACTAATATTCATTGAGACCTTTCTGGGTCACAAGCGCTGGCTTCTGTGATTTCCAAAGCAACCCAATAGTGCCATGGCTTACCTCATTTTACAGAAGAGAAAACCAAAAAAACATTAAACAGTTAAAGGGAAAATCCACATGAGTGGAAGAGTATCTCAGCCATTCAGACATAAAAAATGGGCACTCTGGTTGGGAGTTGCTGGTCCTTATTTAATGAATTCAACTCTAGTATTTTGCATATAGCAAGAAGAGTTCCATTGATATGTGTGATGGATAAAATATGAGCCTCGTGCTCAGAGCACTATACACAATACATGAAACAACAAAATGATCTAGGAACTTCAGCGGAGTAGCAATTCTTCTGAACTAGTACGTTACTTACAGGGCAGCATGGGAAAGAAGAGCCTCCGTGAGGAGGAAGGCTCTGCAAAGCTGGAAGGAATCAGAAGGTAAAGGCACAACCGAGGCCCGGGACAGAAATACCTAGACATGGGCCGGGGATTTTCCTCAGTGGTGTCACCACTTGCCTTGCAAGCACAAGGTCCTGAGTTTGATCCCCAGTGCCAAAAAAAGAAAATACCTAGCCATGTAGGTGACTAACAGATAGCAGAGAGAGGTCCCAAACTCTGGCTGGGGGCGCTGCATCCTGTGGTTAAAGTGAGCCACTGAAGGCTTCTAACAAAGATTATGTCTACGAAAGAAGTAATCACTGACAACGTGATAGCCTCTAAATAATTACTGTGTTTACAACACAGGGCATGTTACACGCAGACTGAATTTTATTTTTTCCAACGTTGCAATTTTACTTTTTGCAACCTTGTTGCAGGCAGAATTAACAAAGCATTCATTAAGCTCTACAGTTTGGGGGAAATTCTATTACAGAACTAAGTTCAAGTGTCTTTTACAGTTCACTATTTCGTAGTCTTCTACCTTGAGTGGGAATATCTGCGTAAATCGAAGCTTCAGCAGGATAACTGCATGTTTTCAGATTGTAAGATAAAAATAAAAAGGATTATTTATATAATTTTAAGTTCAATTAAATAATTATGTATAATTTTAAGTCGACTTACATAATTATGGGTATTCAATAGTAGAGATTATTGATTCTAAGTCTTGTGCCCAAAGATAGTTTGTACCAAAAAGTGTAGCCCAATTATCTATCCTTCCTCAGATTTGACCCTTAATATTCTAACATTTATTTTATTATGTATTGTGACCAGAAGAAAGATATAAATTGTCTGCTCTCAGATAATGAACTACTGAATTTTGCTTCCTTCTAGTTGCAAATTCCTACATCCTACTATCTATAAGAATGTATAATAAACAGACTCATATTTAAATGAATAAAATAAAAACATTTAAATCTTAAAATGTTTAAAGATATAGAAGTCACGTGGCATCTAACATGCAATCTTATATATTCTGGGTTCAAAATTTGAAAAAGTGACCTTCTGAAAGTTAAGTCCTTGTGCCCAGGAACAGTTCTTGGGGTTTGGAACATCATCCCAAAACAGCTTTTTCATTCTATAAAGGAAAAGAAAGCATTAGAAACACACACACTCACACACACAAAAGCATACTGAAAATATTAATAATGAATATAAACTACAGAAATGAGTCCATCAGACCAGTTAACCTCAGTAGAGTCAGATTCATTTTTACATTCTGTTCCAGGATGAGGTCCATCAGATTTCCCTCTATTTATCATAATAAATAGCCCACCTTTATTGAAATCTGTGTGGCAGGCTCTGTGCTACCTTTTGAATAGATTTTACAAAGAAAAAATAAAATGTTAAAAATGGCCATCATGTGAGTGTCAGAAACATGGCTCTCCCCCTCACGTGACTAAAAACTAAAGGTCAGACTCTAAAAGCTTCTTTTCCTCTTTTCTGCTAAAAGACAAACATCTCTACAGACGTGGATGTGAGAAATCACCTCACTAGTCTGGGTTTCTCTGCACAGAGAAAGAAGTGGCACCTGTGTCCACCCTGGGAACAGGGCCGCTCTCCTGCAGCCAGCACCACCCCGGCTGCACCAGGCAAAAAAAGTCCACTTCCAAAGACCTGGGACCGCCAGAAGAACCCTTAACCACTTTACACCCAGAAGCACACTGCCCAGGACTCCCTGTCATCACTGTGTCGTTCCTGAACCAGGGGGAGTGTGAGGTGCGGGGACTTCCTTGGGGTTATGCTGTCCTATCAAAAAGGAAAGTCAGGGAGCCGGGGATTTAGCTCAGTGGTTCGGTGGCCTGCCGTGCAAGTGCAAGGACCTGAGTTCAATCCCCGGTACCAAAAAAAAAAAAAAAAAAAAAAAA